CATCACCTCCATTCCCCTCTCGCTTGACATTTTTAGACGTCGTGCGTCTGATCGTGGGTCTACTAAGATCTCCCCAAAGATCTCTGACCTCAACCCCTCACCCCCCACCCAAAAGACTTTGAGAAGTCGACTTTGGTGTGCACACCATAGCCTCGATCTTGCTGGTCAGGACCATCTTCCACCGTAACCCTACAACACTCGCATCAACACCAACATGCGCGTCCAAGCTGTTGCACTCGCCCTCTTGGCATTTACTGCCTCCACCATCGCCGCCTCTTCGGATGCGACAATTCCTCACCTCGCTCCAAGGTCTCACGAGTCCAAACTGCGCCACCGTGAACTTTCTCAAGTATCTCAGGTCAAGCGCGAGGAGCAAGAGCTCGAGCACGAGCTACAAGCACGTGGCAAGAAGAGCTGGCTCATGACCGGGGCCAAAGCTGTGAGTTCCGCCAAACGTCCTTGGTGTAGACTCCGACACGTCTTGATGCAGACCATTTTGCTGATCTTCAATGCGCCTCCACAGACCTGGTACGGTGGTGGTCAACTCGACAACCCTGCCTGCGGCGGTCCGCGTCCATCCGACAACGACCTGGTCGTTGCCGCTTCGGAAAGCTCCGGTATCCCTTGCCACTCTACCGTGCACATGTGAGTGCTGGGACGGCACCATCACACGAGTGTTCGACGCTGATATCCTTTTCCTCTCTTCCTTCCGATAGCCACTACCATGGCAAGATGGTAAGCGCAAAAGTGGTCGATCGCTGCGCTGGCTGCAACGCAAAGTGGCTCGATTTGACCAAGGGCACCTTCAAGAAGCTGGCTGGTCTCGACGTCGGAGAGTTGCACGGAGTTCACATTCGCGTGTTCCCAGCATGAGCGTGGTCATCATCACGTGCGCAACGCGAAACGCGATCGTAATGCCATAACGAGCGCTCCGTCCTGTCATCCTCCACTGTCACAGCTTTTTTCTAGAAGTCCGCCTCAAGCAGCACACCGCCGAGCATACCCATCTCCACCTGACCGGATGTCTGTACTCAAGTCTTATCACCGTGTACATGGGACTGCAGTCGGATCACATCACCACTAAACCAAATACGCCACGTCTTCGACCTCAGGTTCCGTCTTTGCACGCCCAACCCGCCACGCGTCACCCGTCACCTCCCAAGAGCCAGCTTCATCCAAGGTCTTCGTTCTACTCCAACAACTTTGACCATCGAACGTCCAACTCGAAATGCCTTCTTTGTCTCTCCCTCAGCTCTCTCCTTGTCCAACTGGATTGGAGAAAGCCCAAATCGCCCGTCTCGTCACTTTTCACGCGTCGCGC